ACCCAAAATTATTCCAATAATAATAAAGATTCCAATTCGAACTCAGGATTTTGGACAGTTGCTTTTGTACCGGCGTCAGCTACCGTCAACGACATGTCGGTTCGGTCAACTGTCCGAAACTTACACCGTCAAGTGACGCCGTTAAAACCCTCAGTTGGAGGCAGTTCTGTAGAAAGTGAAATTGTAGCAGGAGAACTCACGCAACAGTTATGAATGAGAAAAAGGACAGACAAAGATTATGTATTTTTATTTTTTTGTTTAAAAATATAAATGTTATTAGTTTTTAAATAAAATGATAAATTTTTTTATTTTATATAAAATATTAATTTAATATTTTTTAATTTAAAATTTAATTGAATAGTTAAAACAACATTTAGTTTAAAAAGGGAACATGAAGTTGTTTAAATGAAGTGATGATGTGGATAAGAAGAGCTGAAGATAATGATGCCAGTGTTTCCTGTGCTTTATTGAGTCGTAAGAAGGACTTGATTTATTCTTTTAAAAAAAGAATTGATTCGCTAAACAAAAATATTAAATTGAATAAAAAAATAATTTAGTAAACTTTATTGAGTCGTAAGAAAGGCTTGATTTATTATAAAAAGAAAAGATTTGATTCGATAAATAACGATTTTTAAATTGAATAAAAATAGGTAAATAATTCAAGCGCTGCCACACTTTTGTTTTCGAGTGAACCTATATGTTCGGATAAGTCATACCTTAGGCATAAACTTATCAATTTTATTTTTTTTTATAATTTAAGATAAAAAAATTATAAATTTAAAGTGTGAGATGAAATATTTTTATTATATAACTCATTTATTATATATATATTTTAAAAAAACTACCGAAATTATTAGCTTACTTATATGGCTCGCTGGAAAGATTGATAAGCAACATTATTAAAATGAAAAAAGAAAGAAAATTAAAAAGGCATGCATAAGAATTGAGTTTTCTAGTTGAGCATAAAAAATATGGAAAAACGTTTCCTGCCATTATGTAACATTTTTATAAATTAATATTTCTTTATATAAATAAATTAGGTAGATGTTTATTCTTTGATTTATTCATATTTTTGGAGGAAATTCATTTATTTATCTATTCATTAGAACTTTGTGTTTAAAGCATTAGTTGCCAAGTCTCAATCATTTGTAATCATGAGGCATGAGATTGACCTAATTAATTAGAGCGTAGGTTTTCATCTCAAGTACCGATTGGGAAGTAAAATTGTAAAATTAATTATAAAGCTTGCTTTATTTTAACAATGTTGGTTAGCACTGAATTTGAAATATATATATATATATATATATATATATTTGTTCTCATCATAGGCTTATTTCAGTATCAATGGGATATATGAATGAATTGATTAAAGGTTTTTTAGAATCAATAAGATTTTTGTTTGTCCTTTAAAAAACTTGATATAATGGTTTTAAATTATTAATAAGTTCTTTATAAAAAGAGAAAAATTATTTGTCGACCCTACTTTCTAAAAAATTAAATGTTTAATATTGTAAACTATATTTTTTTAATAAAATCCTTTAAAAACCAATTTATGGTTTTAGTATGAGAGTTGAAAGGTGTTTATATGTATTGGTATGAGTGTTAAAGGGTCTTTTTTTTTTTTTCTTTTTTGAACAATGTGTTATGCGACGGACTTGAACCCGTCTACGGAGGAGGGGGTGCATCACAATGTGACTAGAGGCCATTTGACCCGAAAAATCAGGTGCGTTAAAAGGTCTTTTTTGACACTACAAAGTTTTGAGATTTATACTTTAATACTTTCTCCTTTTGATTTTAGTGGATTTAGTTTTTGTGTCTAATAAATTAGATATATAATATTTTATTGATAAAATTTCTTATTTATTCTTAGTTAATCATCACTTAAATAAGATTTC